CTTCTCTGATCCTGTTCTGCAGGATAATGATGTCATGCTGTTGGATTGAACCTGAATTACTTTAAAAGTGAGAACCACTAAAATAAACTGTCACACCAGACAAACTAACCACAGACTGAGGATGCAGCATGTTTTCATGTTTACAGCGGTGTAATCCTAGAGCCGGGGACCCTTCAGCCCTGAGGGGTCGAGAGGTCACACTGTGTAAACAACTGTGTTTACTGTAACCTGCCCGACACGTTGGCAGAACATGGAGCCACTCAAGACATGTTGACTGCTGAATTATGATGAGGCATCCCAAAAGCTCATCCCTTAACCCCCCCCACCAACCCCCCCGACCTCACACTCATATTTCACAGATCTCATGTTTATCCTGCTGGTATTTATATTTACTGCCACCACTAACACAATCTTATCTCTCCTTTACGTGCTGCCGTATTTCATCACATTAATGAGATGAAATATTACATGTTAGCAGGTTGGCCTTTCCTCTCAGATACCTCTTTAACCACAACCTTTCCTGCCAAGAGAGAAACAGAGCTGACTAAAACTCTCTCTCGTTCTCCACTCCCTCAGATTTACCCCGGCTGTTCCCGAGGATTTCTATGAGTGAGGTGGATGAGAAGGTGCGACTGCTAGCAGAGAAGGTGTTCGCCTCGGCCCTGAAAGAGGAAGACAACAAGGATGCTCTGGCACTGTTCACCGTGCCCGAGGACTGTCCCATTGGCCTGCATGAGGACAGAGAGAGGGAGCTGCAGAAGGAGCTGGCTGAGGAGCAGTCTCAGGAGTCTGCTAAGAAGTAGGAAATGTTTGATCGAACATGTGTCTCCTTCTGTCTTCACATCTTACATCTCTGAGCAGGAAACAACAGAACATACTCCCAGTGTTCTGCAGTGGCTCTGAGGGACACCTTTAGTTTGTCAGGAGACTAACGTCTTCTCTTGTGTGTCTCCAGGAAGAAGAGTTTCATGTTGAAGCGTTCGCATTCGGTGTCTCTGCAGATACCTGGCGGTAATGAGTGGGCCTTGCCTTCCCCGCTGCTCGCCCCGTCCACACCAGAACCTTGTCTGCCAGGGGACTTCCCAGACTTCCAGAGAGTAACCATCAGTGGAGATTACTGTGCCGGGGTAAACAGGAGGAACACTCCAGCACATAGATGCACGACTACACACAATATGAACACACAACTGAAGCTTCACACAGCAGCTTCTCCCTGCGCTCAAACATGAGCATCATCATTAACAGAAGTGGCTGCACACAAAACATCAAACAGACAAGAGAGAAGGAGACCTAAAGTCTATGGCTACAGGAGGGACTTGGTGACACCATGTCCTGACTGGATGCAAGCATCAGACTATAGCGCCACATTGTGTGACATCAGACACTCTCTGTCCACACTGAATCTATGAAATATTAAGTCCATCACATCATGTTAACAAACCACACACCATCAGCTGTGGTCTCAGAGTGATCACTGAAAAGATTAGTGAACACGAACTTCCTTTATATCCATATTCAAAACAACAATATCACAGGAAACTTACAGATATCATTGTTGTAGCTCCCAGTTCTTACCAGAAACATTCATCTTCCTGTCAGTCTCCCTCCAGCCTGTGACAGCCTGTCAGGAGGTATCCTGCTGGTAATTCCTCATTAAACCTCATCAATCAGCTGTTCCTCGTCCACTGAAGCACTTCCAACGCAAGTGACAGAATAAAAACAGACAATGGGCGTCCGACAAAAGTTCAGCTCAAAATGGTGCACCACATCGTGCTGCACCGCGTCACTCAAACCGTCAAACTGGTTAACTCGCAGATGCTTCCTCGCATCCAGTTAGGACTTAGGACTCTAGCCACGCTGGCACAGAGGCACAAAAATATTTGGCCTGAGAGAAGAGGACATGTTTCACCCAAATGTAAAGGGTTTGTTCTCTGTACAACAGAAAAACGATTTCACTGTCAGAGTGAAAGACTTCACACCCCAGAAAAGGACAGAAATAAATGTCAACTCAATATTGCTGAGACTGCTTATTATTTTGTGGTTGTTGAAACACTCGAGATCTGAGGACCTCCAGTATCACTGCCCTTTAAACTGATGTACAGCAACACCAGAGACAGCACACATTTATCTGTGAACCACAGTTTAATTCTAAAAAAGGGCAATTAAGGACAGATCGGTGGAAAAATATATATGTATATAAAACTTAACTTTTCTTTTTCAGATCACAGTTGAGGATTATGAGCAGGCAGCCCAAAGCCTCCTCGGGGCGCTCTTCATCAGAGAGAAATACTCCAGACTGGCCTACCATCACTTCCCCAGGACCACTGCCCAATTCCTCTGCAACGCCAGAAATGAGGAGTGGCGGGAAGAAGATGAGGTCATGCCAGGTAGGGCCATTGAGACAACTTCCTCTTTAGAAAAGCTTTACAGGTTAAAATTCCTCCTTCTTTCCAGTCTTTATTCTTTCATTCCCAGTAGAGTCGTGCCATGGGACGAGCTGTCCCAGTCACTGTTCCCACAGACAGTGTTACCTGACCAACAGTCTGAGCACTTCTACGGCTCAGACAGAGACTGAACTCTTCTGTTTGGATCATTTATCAAAGCTTTATTGATAAAAACGTCAAAAGATACAAGACTGTAAAAACTTTTAGTAAGACATTGACTACATCTCCCAAGGTGCATTTCAGGTGCTGATTACAGAGCATGTGTCATATGCTTCATATACATCTCATTCCACTGTGATTATCCCTTATTTGCCGTGTGATTTATTTCCGCCTGTCGTCTGCAGACACCTGGCCTTTCCCTCATGAAGGGGAGGACCCGTACTCCATGGAGGGCATCCCTGAGGACCTGAACTACGAGCTGCAGATGAAGGACGGCATCATTCATGTTTACGACGACGCAGAGGCCCTGAAACAACAGCGGCCTCACAACCTCCCTTACCCCGACATTGAGACCTTCGCCATCGACCTGAACCACGTTCTCGCAATGATCGCTGACGGCCCAACGTGAGTACACGTCAACATGACCACTGCTCACAACAACAGCTCAAATGAAAGATTTGAACTGATTTATCACAGAACAGTGTGAACAGTCTTTTCTTCCTGGAGCAGAAGGTTAGTCAGGACTCTATCAAACGACATGTTAACATGATCTTATGTTGTGTTGCCTTGCAGGAAAACCTACTGTCACAGACGGCTCAACTTCTTGGCCTCTAAATTCTACCTCCATGAAATGCTGAATGAAATGGCCGAGCTCAAAGAGCTGAAATGTGTTCCTCACAGAGACTTCTACAACGTCAGAAAGGTTGGTTTGTATTCTTCCATCAGGTTCAATATACAAATCACACTCGTTTGTTTTCTGAGACATATATTAAACAACACAGGAATGTTCACCAGATGACTTGAATATCTTAATTTGGAAGCACTGGATCATTCTAGAGTTATTGGTGTGATTTTGTAGAGGAGAGCATCTACACAGAAAATAAATAATTAATTTAAAAAAGAAGAGGCAACAGATAGGAGTCGTTTTTTTTAGCTTGGCGCCACCTAGCATCAGTGGTGTTGTGCCGCACTGTCGCAATGACCAAATTGAGTGTGGGGATCAGAGATAATCAATAAAATGTAGGCTGTAAAGCCACCAGTATACCTCTATGTATATGCAGAATGAGAAGGTGTGTGGACACTCTACTAAATAAATGAGTAAAGAGACCGAGCAACAATTATCAGATTTATCTGAAGAAAAAACAAATAGTAATGCAAATAATTATACCAGAATGCATACCAATATGTACAGGGGGGAGGGGGGGGGGTGGTAACACTCACTACCCGGTCCCTGGTTGTGGCGATTTGCGATGCTGGCCAGCTAGGAATGAACTAGCAGCCAGTACAGTACAGTCCTCTCTGGACTAGCTAACATTTAGCCGTGTTACTTACTGATCCATTAGAAAGAAAGCTAGCTGGACATGGGCTTTGAAGCCTCTTTGGTAAAGGAGCTCCCTCCATCTCTTGAACACCTGACTGAGGTTTACTCTTGTTTTTCCTCTTCTTTTATCACTCTCCTTTTTGCTCTTCTTTGCCTCCTCAAACAGAGGAGCTCATTTTATTTAGCTAAGCAATTTTTCACTTGTATCCAAACTTTGTACGTCTGCCATTGTGCTAATGACTCAACTATCTCATGCCCAACTCCTCATGAGGACCAGCTCCAGTCCCTGATTGGCCGACCGACCAGTTTCGCAATACATGACACGTTTCCCTGCTGTAAAGCAGATTTTTTTCCGCAAAATTTCGCCCCCGGTGGCAGAAGCTTATTGCAAAGATTGCAAAGCCACTAAGTAACCTATGTAAACGCTGATAGTCTGATTTTACTGTGGCCACTACCCTGTGCAACCCACATTATTTTCATAATGATATATTTAGGAAAAGATGCTGTCTGTTGCCTCTTTAAATGAATGTTAACATAACCTTTCCAGCCTCGCGGCTTCGTATCGTATTTAGGGGACCTCTGGTTTCTTTGTGCTAACACAATTAGCTTTAGCCTGACACGTAAATGGTCCCTAGCTTTTACAGTCCATCAACTCAGCAGTGAAAACGGTCAGAAGACAGTGTGATAACAGTGCATCATACAGATGCTTTATTCCTTCTGTGCAGTGAACAAACAGTCATTACACTGGAACCTGAATGTACCCGGACACTTTCTGCTGACTGCAGCCCTACCGACAGGGACTCTGTATTATAATGATGTAAAACAGCTCATCTGGCGGACGCTGCTTCAGCCTGAGCTTTTCCTCTGAAGGGTCGTCTCACTACAGCAGGAGTTATTTCTAACTTTAGTTCCTTCAATCTAAATAAACTTGACTTTATGGACTTCCTGTAACTCATCCAGTGAAGTCATGCACGTCCTCACTGTCTGCTTTGTGTCAACCTCAGGTGGACACACACATACACGCTGCTGCTTGCATGAACCAGAAGCATCTGCTGAAGTTTATAAAGACCACCTACCAGACGGAGGCAGATCGCGTGGTCCTGGAGAAGGGTGGCCAGAAGCTCACACTCAAAGAGGTCTTCAACAAACTCAACATGGACCCCTACGACCTCACTGTGGACTCTCTGGACGTGCACGCTGTAAGAACAAAGTCATGTCTGTCAGAGGTCTTAAAAAAATAAAAAGATTCCAGTGACATGTCGGCCATGTTGTCACACATCAGGTTTACCTTGTATTAACATGATGTCCTAGAGGCATATAGATCAGGTAATTACATAACTCTGATGTGCCTGCCAAGAATTAAGTTTTTAAATAACCACAGCACATTTCACTAACCTGTGCTCACTGACACGAGGATGTAATTATGGCTTTTCATGCATTTCATATGGTGTTATGCAATCGTTTTTATGTTCCATGCAAAGTCCTCTAAGTGTCTAATATGAAAATAATCAATACAGTCACTTTGTTGGACGCAGAATGAGATCATCTGTACGTAAGATTCACCCTCTCTCACGAATGACTCTCACAGGGAAGACAAACATTTCACCGCTTTGACAAGTTCAACTCCAAATACAACCCTGTGGGCGCCAGCGAGCTGCGAGAGATCTACTTGAAAACAGACAACGACATCAAAGGAGAATACTTTGCACGTCTCATCAAGGTACAGTGTAATTAAAGCACCAATGTCCTGAGAGGCTGTGCATGGTCATGTTTCCAGGTGTCTGGTTGAACTAGATTCCTGCTCAGGTTGAAGTTGGGTGAAGCTGCACTGAAATTACAATAAGTAAACAAACTCCAGGAAACAAATGAGACCAATAAAGGGGGCAGAGCTGTCAAACTTATTAAAACACATTTCAACATGCCATCTGATGCTGTGAGGAGTGAGGAAGCAGCAAGTGTGACAGGCAGAGCTGAAGATGAGGGGTGAGGCAGAGTAATGTTAGCAAATAAAACCTGCTGTATCTGCTCAGTTATAAAGTGTGAAGTGACAACACAGGTATGATATTAAAGTGATAGTTCAGGTTTTTGGACATGAAGTTGTGTGAAATGCTGACCATCTGTAGCTCTGATGTGACGGTGTCACTACTGTCAACGAGCCTCCTGCTCTGAGAAATGGCCCGTAGCTTACCGGAGAAAAAGTAGTTCTGAAGATGTACGGGGGACACGTAACCAAAAGGTTTTAAGCTACAAAAAAGTATGCATGTGTTTTGTTAGACTATTTCAATAATTTTAAAACATCCCCGCATTACGTCAGACCTTGCTATCAATTGGGACTATTTTCTGGCCAGTATCACTCTGCCGTGCAGTTGCCTACGGGTTACATCTGTAACAGGAAACCGATGGAATTGGGAGCCGGCGATGTTTTTATTACCACAGCTGGGGAAATCACAAGTTCGCACCATTTTGGTATCCCTCTGTTTACCTACAGCAGCTGACGAGGGTGTGTCGTGAGCCTGAGCCGGTGTTCGCGCTGTAGTAGTAGGTATATATATGTATATATGGCTAGCACATCTTCTTCCTCACTAATAATAGCCTACTGGTTCTCTGTTGGAAACAGCCGATGAAGTTTTCGTTAGCCGTTGCTATCCTGCACACCTGCATGCCGTGGTGATGAAATGTCTAATTGATTTCTGTTCGCGTGCTGTCTTGTGGGCCTGCACGGCAGAGTGATACTGGCCAGAAAATAGTCCCAATTGATAGCAAGGTCTGACATAATGCGGGGATGTTTTAAAATTATTGAAATAGTCTAACAAAACACATGCATACTTTTTTGTAGCTTAAAACCTTTTGGTTACGTGACCCCCATATATCTTAAGAACTACTTTTTCTCCGGAAAGCTACGGGCCATTTCTCAGAGCAGGAGGCTCGTTGACAGTAGTGACACCGTCACATCAGAGCTACAAATGGTCAGCGTTTCACAACTTCATGTCCAAAAACCTGAACTATCGCTTTAAACTAAAGAACATAAGGCATCCATTAATACCAAACACGTTTCACTATCTTGTTGGAAAGGGGGCCAAATAACGCTCCAAACTTGCACTAAATTTTGGCGAGGGATAAGGGATTCATATTATCACTCTTATTTAAATATTTCTGCACACTGAGGACCCTGAACTGTCTCTGTATTACATAAACTGGGTTTGACAGACATATACTCTTCACACTGCCCACAGTTTGGCCAATATATGATTAAAGTAGACTCAAAATTGAATCAATAAATGAATAAAATATATTAGGCCTGTTTGCTCACTTGTCATTTAATGATGATGATGATTTAATACCCTGCAGTAATTTCCCTCCCCAGTGACTGGCCTGATTATTTATCCTGATTGTAGTGCTTTGTAAATGAGCCGTATTGTTCAGCTATTATCAGGTAGTTTGTTGCTTTTTAAATGAAAGACAACAGTTTTAAAATAAATTAATACTTACAGTTAACAGTTCATTGTTAAATGCAGAACACAGAGCAGCATTTTTTCAGCTGATACGCTTTGGTTGCTACGATACAGAACATCCATGAAAGAAAATGTCGGCACAAGTTAGAGGACACGCTGTGGATAACGGGGGGGCTGAAGCACGTACAGCAAGACGACAGACCCAACACAGTGCTGTGATACTGAAGTTAATATAAACAGTCCTAAATGAGGGTCAGTGAGGTGTCAGTGAGGTACAGTCTTCAAAAAGACGTCCAGTAGGCTTCTTCTAACTAAAAACATTTGATATCTCACAGAAGGCAAAACACAAATAAATAGGCTAATAAAATAAATGATAATTCTGTTCATTAGTTTCAGATTTAGTGTCCCCAGGCTCACTGTCATGATTAACTGGGAATATTCATGTTTTTCTTGTCAAACTTTCTGCAGTGAAAAACGTCTATTAAACAAAATATGTGAAAGCACCAGAGTTGCATCATTAATCCTGTTTATCGTCTATTTGATTGACAGAAATGTAGGAAACTATTCTGCTAAATGGATAATTGTTTTAGATTTTTTTTAAGCCAAACATTTGTTGTAAATGTTTCTTATATGTGATGCTAACCTTTGTCATATTTGAAAATGAAAATACAGCTTTGGATTTTTGGACTGCTGGTCAAATAAAATAAACCATTTAAAGACATTACCTCGGCCTCTGGGACATTACACCAACCAAGTTTCACTAGTCTGACATTTTATTGATAAAATGATTGGTCAAGAAAAGAATAGGCAAAATAACAGTCAATTAAAGCTCTATAAAGTACCTCTCTGGGTTGATCAAGTTTAATTCAACTGTTTTATTTTTCATAGGACCAGAACACAAAAAAACTAATCAAGATATTTAAAAAATCGAAAGTGAACAGACTGCACTGAACAATCTCCGACAGCAGCTGTGTGGGGTCTCTCATTTTATTTAGCTTTTAGCATTTTATCTAAAGTAGAGTTTCTCTCTCTCTGCTCCAAATATTTGTTTCTCTGTGTAAATGTAATTTATCTTCGTGTATTTCGTGCAGACACACTTGTTTCATCTTTCATCGTTGGCTTGGGTGTAGCTGTAGATGTCTTGCTCCCACTGCTGGTGGATTAATGAAGTGTTACTGGAGGACATGAAGTTTAAGTTTTGAAGTTTAAGTCCACTTGCTGTGTTACACGGATGTGACAGAATTATCTTGTTATCTGTGCAGTGAGCATTTACAAATGTTTACTTCTGCATTATCGAGAAACTTCACCGACTTCCTGTGGTTTGGCGTCTGTTTCAGGAAGTTGCCAAAGAGCTGGAGGAGAGTAAGTACCAGCATGCTGAGCCCCGTCTGTCCATTTACGGCCGCTCTGCCAGCGAGTGGGAGAGCTTAGCAAACTGGTTCATCCAGCATAAGGTCCATTCACCCAACATGAGATGGATGATCCAAGTCCCCAGGATCTAGTAAGTATTGAGTGAGACAGCAGGCGCGTCTCTTTCAATAAAACAAACACGCCTCATTTAATAACACAAATGATCTGAGTTTATTATAATATGCTAAACGACAGTGTTGATACTAAACCAATGATTCATCTTAACTCTTTTTAATAAAGAGTGATAGACTTCAAGTAGTTTGTTTGGGACCAACATTTTCTAATTAAAACCTAAATATCTGCATTTTTCTGAGTCATAGATTAAACAGATAAACTGCCAAAACTTTGGCTTCAAACTTGTAAACTCAGATAAGTCAGGAGTGATGACATCATTCAACAGGCTGCCCTGAACAAGCAAACAGATGATGAAATGTTTGTGTTGTTTCTATGGAAATCTGTTTGTTGATTTGATTCTCTTTGTCTTTCAGTGACATTTTTAGGTCAAAGAAATTAGTACCACACTACGCCAAGATGTTGGAGAACATTTTCCTCCCCCTCTTTAAGGCTACAGTCAACCCACAGAAGCACAAAGCCACACATGTGTTCCTGAAATACGTGAGTACTTTTATCAGAGGGTGGGTTCTGTACCATGCAGGAACTTCTTAAAGTCAAACAGCAGCCGGCCATGTCTGTGCGATATTCAGTGACACTTGTTGTGGAAGTGACTGAGGAGAGGAAGACGAGGTGAAGCTACATGTTTTCTGCACTGATGAAGAAGATGCATGGTTGTGTGATATTTGTTGTCCTGCAGGTGACCGGATTTGACAGCGTGGATGACGAGTCCAAACACAGCGACCACATGTTCTCCTACAAAAGCCCAAAGCCTGAGGCGTGGACCACAGACAACAACCCTCCCTACACCTACTACCTGTTCTACATGTATGCCAACATCATGGTGCTCAACAACCTTCGCAAGTAAGTCCTGCATGTAGATTTTAGGACACCAGACCAGTCCTATTAAATTAAAGATGATTTCAGAGGCCAGAATCACCAGTGGGTGGTGGGGGACCTGGACAGGCTGCACGTCCATCACAGGCCTGACAAACATGTTTAATGATAACTGTGGGAAAGTTTCTGGGGTGAGCTGCATGTCAGAAATTTAAAATAACTGCTATGCATTGCTTTAAAGTTTTGAATCAGTGAAAAAAGAGATTCAACAGTAAAAATATGAAGCCATGAAGGCAAGGTCAGCGTCAGGGTGTCACTGCCACCCGCCCATAAATAACAACAACAACAGAAGTTGCTGCACACAAAACAATCCCAGGTGCACATGAA